TTCTTTCAAATAATAAACCAAATTAAGTAAATTGTTTAGATTTAATATTCTACATCTATTATAAATAAATCTAATAATTAATTTATATATAGTTTTATCCAGTATTAGATTATTCTGAATTAATTCATAATAAACAGTTTGTTTTTCAAAATCGTATGAAATTGTTGTTTCATAATATAATAATTAAATCAATTAAATTTTAAATACCAATAGTTAAAGTCTTTTAGATGGCAAAGATGCATCAACATAATCATTAAAGCAGGTAATGGTCTTTAAATAAAAAGCCAAAATAGTAATTGAAAGTCGAATCCTCCAAGAAAAAAGAATTCATTATGATTATTTATGTAATCTTTTAGGTTTAATTTTATAGCTCTTCGTGAAAATGATGCAATCAAAGTTAAGGAAAAATTATTTTGGATTCTCTTGACCTCCTTGGGAAATTTCAAGTTCTTTGATTACTCTTTTATATTTAGATGACCATTATAATGTTTTTGATAATAAAATATGTTATGCTTTATAACATATAGAATAATTATTACAATAAAATTATGAATAATGTATTAAATCAATTATGATCATTTGAAAATTTTAGATAATTTGACTAGATAGTAATAAATGGATAGGTGATAATTTTTGTAAGTTTAGAATAAAAGTATTTCATCTTCAAAAAAGCTTATAGCAAGTTTGAGAGTTTGAGATTGGATTTATTTATTTTTAAATTAAAAAGAAATCATGTATATATATCCTTATAAGTTTAAAGTTTTAAACCAAAAAGAAATCAGATATATTTCTAAATAAGTTTAAAGACATTGATAATAATTAACTTATACCGAATTAAATAAATTAGATATTTATTTATTATTTTTATTTAATCAAAATACTCAAATATTGCTTCAATTGTGAAAAAAATGAAAAAAAAATGTTTGAAGTTCTATGTGAGTTTACTGGTGTTTGTTCCACTAGTATAGAGAACATTTCTTTATTGAAATTGGTATAGGATTAAAGATAGTTGATATTTTAATTGAACATTAAAAGATATTCTCAATTTTATTAAAAAAGAAATAGATTGATTGTGATACATATAATTGAAATTATTCAAAATCTATTTCTAAAAATATTCTGAAAATATCAATCTAATTTGTTTTCTCTTTTTTTTAAGAAGGAAATTATTTTTGGGGATATTTGAATGTAAGATTTATTATTTACTTTTATAATAGTCTATTTTTATGTGAAAGATACTATTAAGATAATAATGATATTATCTTGTTAAAAATTTCAAAGACTAGGATTTTAAGATATTATTGATGGGCAGCTCTCTATTAATATAAAGTTTTTCTAAGTTTTCAGTTTATTAAAAATTAGCGATTTTTGAAATATTACCCAAAAAATTAAACTCTGTTTATTTGGCAAATGAAAAAGGCTGAATTAAAGAAAGTTAAAAACGCTGTGAAAAGCATTCGCATGACCTTAAAATTTATGTAAGAGCAGAAGATGAATAAGTTTATTTTGTTTACACACAACTATTTTAAAATAATTATTCAAAGTAAAATAGAATAATACATGATTCACTATCTATTCACTATAAATGAAATGCTCAGATAGTGAGAGGATATCAATATTTGAGATTTATCTCCAATTAGTATCTTAGTTAAAGAAACTTTCTAATAATAGAATTATTATAAAAGTAAATTATATATAACTACTCGATATCCAATTTCAGTTTCATTTATATTATAATATAAAATGATTATACTTATTAAATTAAAAAAAGTGTGATAAGAATCCACGAAGTTATTTGGAATAAAAATAAAATACTGGGCCTTTATTATAAACTGAAGAACTTATTAAAATATTTCATTAAATTTCAAAAGGCTTCCTTAAAAAATTTTGAAATAATTCATAAATATTTAAACCAGATTATGTCTTGCTGAAGCTTAACAATCAAAGGGAAACCTGTATTGAAAAAATATATATGTTCTTTAACTTCAATAGGTCATTGATTTTGTACTTGATAAAATTATTAATTCAGTAATAATATTTTATCATTAATCTCTTCAGTTAGCAATAATTTTACATTATCTTCCAAGCTTCTTTATATTTCTCGCCTTTAAAATATAAACCATTTATAAATATATATTTTCTCTAATGTTTTACAACAACTCTATTTATTGGTTTATTTTATTTAAATTAGTATTATTATTATTGAATAGTTCGATGATGCAAAATGAGTTTCATAGTTCCTTTCGTGAGTAAAATTACTGTATTAATAGCTCTTAAATTTTGAAGAGTTGATGATGTATTTTTAGTTTTTTTTCTCTACACGTAGTATGATTATTCAACTTTTTTTTAATGTATATTAATTCTAAAATATTTCTTGAATATTTCATTAATAATCTTATCTTCTGGTCCAATTTTCTCATTTTCTCTCTTTTATGAATCTCCCAACAAATAATAAAATAATATAAAGGATTAATAAAATCATAATCCCCATTTTTGCAGTCTATATCCCCCCATATCCAAAATTTAAACTATAAAATAATCATCAGGAAATTTATTATTAGAAAAATAATTGCTAATATTAATCAATTTTCCTACTTTTAGATTTTCAACCTGTCATGTTGATTCTCCTCCATTAATTAAACAGAAGTTTTCTAATAATCTTAATAAGTTTCAAATTTATTCACTCCATTCTATTCCTTTGTATCGATCGACCTCACTTAATTTTCATAAAAATATCATAAGTTTATAAGATTAACTTCTAAAATCTTTCATTTTAATTGAAATTCATTTTTTAATTCAATTAGCTATTATACCTAACTCCACCACTAATTTATAAAGGCAGAACAATATATTTGAATTAAAGAGTTAATTTAAGTTAATATCTATTCACCATCATATGTTACTTTAAAATAGCTATTAATTTAATTATGCTTAAGATGATTTTTCTAAAGAAAGGACATAGAACATCTTTAGTTTAATACAAATCAAAAAATCAAGTTAGACTTTTTCGAATCGCTCACATCAAAATTTAAAACTAAAAAAAAATATTCTCAATCCTATACAAAAAATTTAATACAATAACAAACATCGCACAATACATAATAATTTATTACAATTATTTTAAGCAGAATCATTTTCTTTTATTCTTTTCAAATATCATATTTCTTTTCGCCCAGTTTCTGATTAGTATAAATATTTTTTTCCGCCCATATACCAATTTTTATACCTTTCATATTATATTCACCTTCATATGTGACTTATTTATTCACAGAAAACAATTAATCTAACTCTACCCATCTTCCAATCTTAATTGAACCTTCCTTTTCACAATATGAACCACCTCCACTAAAATATTATTATTCTACCCTAATAAAATATTTACATTTATTCATTCTTCCCGTCCCAATTAAACCATATATCCCATCTACCTTTTTTCATTCCTTTCATATTATATTCACCATTATAAGTGACTTATTTAAAACTTGCAAAACCTTCATCTAACTCTACCCACCTTCCAATCTTTATTTAGCCATCACTTTCACCATATTAACCACCCCCACTAATATATTATTACGCCTATAACTTTATAATTTTTACATTTTTTATCCTTTATATGCCGTATTCCATCTTCCTACCTTACCTTAAATCTTATATTAACCATTATAAGTGACTTATTTCCAATTCGTAAAACCTTCATCTAACTCTACCCACCTTCCAATCTTAAACTAACCTTCTCCCTCAACATAAGATCCCCCTCCACTAATATACTATAATAATAGAATACTTACATTTATTTATATTCATACTTTTCTTACACCCTATAATTAATATCCCATCTGCCTATTTTCATACCTTTCATATTATATTCCCCCTTATATATTAATTAAGCATAATAATAAAACCCATCCAGCAACTCTACCCACTTTCCAATCTTAATTTAACTTTCTCCCTCCTCATAAGTTCCCCCACCACTAACATATTATTTCACCTATTCTTAATAATATCTACATTTATCTATATTTTTTATCTCCATATGGATCACAATAATTAATATCCCATCTACCTATCTTAATGCCTTTCACATTATATTCGCCATTATAAGTGACTTATTTCAAGTGAGCAAATCCTTAATCTAACTCTATCCACCTTCCAATCTAAATTTAACCTTATTCCTCATCATATGATCCACCACCACTAACATTATACATATATAATTATTATATATTTACATTTATTTATATTCCTACTTACCCTTCTCACAATAACCAATATCCCATCTCCCAACCTTCATTCCTTTTATATTATATTCACCGTTGTAGATGACTTATTTCTCATACCAAAATCTTTTATCCAATTCTACCCATCTCCCAATTTTGATTAAACCTTCTCCGTCGCCATATGATCCACCACCACTAATTAATTATTTTCACCTTAAATTATATAATATTTACATTTATTTGTATTCATTTTAATTAAAGCTTTAATACATGCTATCCCATCTCCCAACTTTCTTTCCTTTTATATTATATTCACCATTATAGATAACTTATTTCTGGTACCAAAACCTTTCATCTAACTCTACCCATCTCCCAATTTTGATGAAATCTTCTCCGTCTTTATATGATCCACCACCACTAGAATATTTTTATCATTTATATATTATTTACATCTATATAAAAACATCTTTTTGTCCATGACAATAACTAATATCCCATCTACCTATTTTAATACCTTTAGACTTATATTCACCAATATGAATGACTTGATTACCCAACCAAAAGCTTTCATCCAACTCTGCCCATTTTCCAATTTTTTATCCTTGCTCATTATATTATCCACCAAAATTATCTAACTTTTTTTGTTCATAGTTATATTTCCAAGAACCTATTTTTTTACCTTCAAAGTATTCACCTTCTTCAAATACAGGAATCCAACTAGTGATATTTAAATATGAACATTTACCTACAATAATTCTTAACTAATTCCTTCCATAAACCAATCTTTTAGCCATCTTCTGAGTAATATCCACCAGCTTTTTATAAAATTTATTCATTCCAATAAATGCTCCATTTAGCAACCTTCTAAAAATTATTTCGATATTTTCCATCCCACTTAAGTTATTTTACTTATTCTTTATTATTAAAAATTTCATGTTCCGAAGTGGAATAATTTTGCAATCTATCATAGTTTATTAATAATTTACTATCTAATAATATTTCTATCATAAATATATTCGATTTCCTTCTCTTAATATAATTATGGTTGATATATCTTATCCAACCATCTATTTAATTAAATGTCAAAAAACAGGCATTATTCATACAGAATAACTTATTCGAACTCTGATTTCTTTGAAAGATTCCCCATGTCTTTTATTGTTAATTTTAGTATAAATTAAAATTTATAGAAAATTTTTAATTCTTTAATTATCAATTTAAAGTATTTTATTGATTTCACTATGTAATTCTTAATTTCAAAAATATATTGCCAGTAATTATTTTTCTAATCAATTCAAAATATGAAAATATAGATTATTAGTCAACATTCAAGAAAATGAATGCTAGTTTTTGAATTTAAATTTAAGTGGTAAGTTTTAATTGGTAATAGTTGGAACGTAAAATATNATTAAACCTTCTCCGTCGCCATATGATCCACCACCACTAATTAATTATTTTCACCTTAAATTATATAATATTTACATTTATTTGTATTCATTTTAATTAAAGCTTTAATACATGCTATCCCATCTCCCAACTTTCTTTCCTTTTATATTATATTCACCATTATAGATAACTTATTTCTGGTACCAAAACCTTTCATCTAACTCTACCCATCTCCCAATTTTGATGAAATCTTCTCCGTCTTTATATGATCCACCACCACTAGAATATTTTTATCATTTATATATTATTTACATCTATATAAAAACATCTTTTTGTCCATGACAATAACTAATATCCCATCTACCTATTTTAATACCTTTAGACTTATATTCACCAATATGAATGACTTGATTACCCAACCAAAAGCTTTCATCCAACTCTGCCCATTTTCCAATTTTTTATCCTTGCTCATTATATTATCCACCAAAATTATCTAACTTTTTTTGTTCATAGTTATATTTCCAAGAACCTATTTTTTTACCTTCAAAGTATTCACCTTCTTCAAATACAGGAATCCAACTAGTGATATTTAAATATGAACATTTACCTACAATAATTCTTAACTAATTCCTTCCATAAACCAATCTTTTAGCCATCTTCTGAGTAATATCCACCAGCTTTTTATAAAATTTATTCATTCCAATAAATGCTCCATTTAGCAACCTTCTAAAAATTATTTCGATATTTTCCATCCCACTTAAGTTATTTTACTTATTCTTTATTATTAAAAATTTCATGTTCCGAAGTGGAATAATTTTGCAATCTATCATAGTTTATTAATAATTTACTATCTAATAATATTTCTATCATAAATATATTCGATTTCCTTCTCTTAATATAATTATGGTTGATATATCTTATCCAACCATCTATTTAATTAAATGTCAAAAAACAGGCATTATTCATACAGAATAACTTATTCGAACTCTGATTTCTTTGAAAGATTCCCCATGTCTTTTATTGTTAATTTTAGTATAAATTAAAATTTATAGAAAATTTTTAATTCTTTAATTATCAATTTAAAGTATTTTATTGATTTCACTATGTAATTCTTAATTTCAAAAATATATTGCCAGTAATTATTTTTCTAATCAATTCAAAATATGAAAATATAGATTATTAGTCAACATTCAAGAAAATGAATGCTAGTTTTTGAATTTAAATTTAAGTGGTAAGTTTTAATTGGTAATAGTTGGAACGTAAAATATTATGACCATTGAAAATAGATTAGATTAATTAATTTTTATGGGAGCTTGAAGTATTTAATAATTTAGAATAAATCTAATATCTTTAATAGTTTTAAAAATATTATAGTAATTTCTAAAAGTATGAAAAAGCATTTAAATAAATGCAAGATTCAAATTAACTTCGTGATGTTGAATCATTTGATTCTTGTAAGAGGTCGATGAATCTCTTTGAGGTTACTACAATAACATAAAATTACACTTTCCAGCTCATCAGCTCATGATAAATACTTAATGTCTGTACTCAAATCTTTAAAAATGAAAATGGCCTAAGATCATATGTCTTGGCTACTGTATTATTAATTTAAAGTAATAAATATTAATAAAGAATAAATGACATATTTCTTTAAAATGACCATTTTCAGTTTCTTGTCATTTACAATGAATTATTTTAAATTTCCCAAAATAAAGCCTTTAAATTGAAGTTTGTAAAGTTATTATTACTTATTTCGATAACTAGAATATCTTCATAATTATTGTCTGCCCTTAAAATGATGGCTTCTTAAAATTTTATTTTGGAATTCACAAAAAAGACAATTTTGCCATGACGTAATAGTTCAAAAATATGTTCTTATGAATTATTCATTGCTTATTTATGATTGAAATAAAATAATAAAATGGTTTTTAAGTTGCTCAAATATATATCACTTGCCAAAACAATGTTTAAAATTAATTGCACAATTTTTAGAAATAAGGATCAAAAAAATTATTTCTTAGAAAAATTAATCTCACAAAGATTGCTATCATGCTATTTAAAATTCTCAAATTCTAGGGGGAAGCTTTAATCTGTTTAGTTTTATATTTCAAATAAAAATTATATTATACTCTTTAATTAATTCTTGTTGCAATTCTCTTAAAATATAATTAATATTAGAATAAAAGGTATTGTTTTATTATCTAATCAATGAAAATTTTTCATCTGTTTTCATTTGGATAAAAATTTATCTAATAGTTAAATTTTTTAACTCTGCTTGGTTATGTGATCATTATCTAAATTATATCATCCAGTTTTTTATTTAATGAAACAAACAATATTTTTCAAAAACAAAATTTAAAATTTTAATTCAATTTAAGGATTTAATTTATTATATTAAAATTTGTTTAAAGTTTTTGAGAATCTGAGTTGTTAGTTGAAAACAAAATCCTAATTAAACTTTGGAATTTATAGCAAGCAATTAAGGATTCTAAATTTATGTTTAAATTATTATTTTATAAGATTTTAGAATTAAAATTATAATAACTAATTTTTAAGTTAAATATTCACAATATGATCAAAGCTAAATAAGATTCTAAATAACAACATTAATTGACCATATTGAGAATTTAATTTAAATATCTTAATTAAAATTGTGCTATTAAGCTTTATACTACTAGCATATTTTGGATAAAATAAAAATAATGCTAAAAATTTTAATTAAAATAACTTAGAAATAGAGCTTTTAAAAGGTTCGTTATAAATTGTTTAGAGATGAAAATTAAGTACTCAGTTTGTAGATGAAAATATTATTAAATAAACTTTATGTTTTCTTTTTTGATCTATCATACATAATGAATCTTTTCCTAGATTAATTATCAGAAAAAAATTAAACTAATTTGATTGATCTAATTATTATTGCTAATATAAAATAAATTATAACACCTTTTGTGATTATAAATTGAAATTCTGCTATCTTTTAAGCTGCATAAATCTTGTATAAAAGCTTAGGATTTTTAAAACTGAAAAATTTAATATAATTTTTATTTCAAAGTTTGTAAGAATTTTATTTCAATAAAAACTATTTAGTTTAATTGTTGCTATTCATACATTATTTTTTTTAACTATTGAGATTAAATTTAACTTATGAAACTAAAGATTTGAAGCATTTCTTGGTAAAATAAATGAATCAAAATTAAATCATCATTTTTGGGCATTAAATTACTTTTTAGAGCAATCAAAACTAATCAAGTCACAAAAAAATTAGAATGAATTTAAATAAATCTTCATTTAATTAAAATAAAATAATACTAATATCAGACTGTGAAAAATTAAGCATAGAAATGGAAGTTTTAACAATTAATTTACTTAAAAGTGGCTACAAAAAATTGAAAGTTTAACAAAAAAATAGTTATGGTGCTTTGATTTTGCTCCAGCTCGCAGAGATGGCCAGTTAAAATAAACGAAAATGAAAATGATATAAACTAATTTTAGTAAGATGAATATTTTATCGCTAATATTCTTGTATTCTGGATTAACATTTGTGTAGGTATAATATTATTTAATAGCAATAGAATCAACTTCAATAAATATATCTGCTTTCACCTTAGTATTCTTCTCATACTTAAGGTTTAGCAAGCAACGATCTTACAGTATTGATAATTAACAGATGTCAAGCAAATTCCTACTGCAATTTTTACAATTTCATAATTTCCTTTAGTTTTTGCATTTTGTTGAATTTATTTATTGCATCAATATCATAATTTATTAATTAATAAAAAGGAAACAGGTAATTAAGAATTATCATTTCGAATTTATAATCTTAGATAGAATTTGTTCAGGGAACATTTTTCACCTTAAATTAGATTCGATATTGCTCTTCAGATATCTGTCCATTACTTTCAATTTTATACAAAAAGCTCTCTTCATAGTTACAATGAATGAACCACTCAATTTTATTAATAAATAATACCTCAACTTTATATAATAAAAAATATCAAAGTCAATAATTGTAACAACTTTTGATGTTTTTGTTAAGAAATTTTTCCCATTTATAATCCCTTCATCTACTAATAGTATCATTACAAAATCTAAGCCTTAAATCCACAATTCTTTTTTAAATCAACTAATTCCTCCAAAAATACAATTAACTTGACACTACAGGATAAATCATTAACCATTATTCAATTAGCATGAATTCTATCTTTTTTGATAAAATAAGATGAGCAATAGTAAAATTAATTAGCTTAATTCTAAGATGTTGTTTTTGTTAAATAATCTTCATAACAATATAATCACTTACTAAAAAATCAAAATAAAAGATTTACAATTTTTAATTTGAAAATTAAAAAAATATTCTTGTTTTCACATACTATATGTGTATTCACCATTATCTTAAATTGGAAAGGCGATATTTTATTTTTATTGAAATTAACTATTTGAACCAAATTTTCTATCTCTCATAAAATTGGAA